ACAACAATTGTCTTTACAACCTAATTTGATATCAGATTCACTAGAGTTACTAGATGCGGATAAATAGTCCGAAAAACTTTCAGGATTGCTTGAATCTTCTAAACTGTCTTCGATTTGGCCAAGGTTAGTTAACTTAAAAGATGTTGAAAATTTCTTCTTTTTCTCTAGTTAAGTTTAGCTATTTTATTTTCTTTTTAACTAGGCATTCTGGGCTAATATGGTCTTTCTTTCCACAGTTAAAACATTCAATTTCTTTTCTATTCTTCTTCCCTGGCTTTTTCTTATAAGTTTTAGGCGTTTAAGATTTCCTATGTTTTTTGCTAGATTTTCCATAATATTTTTGCTTTGGAAAATTCTTTTTGCTTCTTTTTTAGTAATGCTTACCTTTACTATGAGGCTTTTATGGCTTAAGATTTTCTATTAGATGGTGCTACTGAAGGAAGACCATATTTTTCATTGAATTTTCATTTGAACAGGCATAAAGGAGAAATGCATATATCCACGATGGATTCATCATTTAATCTTGTTCAAAAACTTTTTGATGTTGAATTCAAAGTGTCAAACGTTTAGTATTTAATATTTGCATTCGATTTTGCCAAGGCAAGAGAATAGAGAACACAAACTAGTTTTTATTTGTTGGATGACGATCAACCTGTCTAGTACTAATTTCGTGTTCCACCTCTCCTTTATAAATGGGTGCGTGAATTGCCTAGCCAACTTTCCCAACTTGATGATTGAATATCGGCTAACATCTGATTGCATGATTGAATCAATCAGTTCATCAAAGCAAACTGTTACTTCTTACCTTCTACAAGGTTCCAAAGAACTCTAAAATATGTTACTTTATTTTTGTGCGCACGTCAAGAAACATTCTAAAACATGCTAGAGAGGTAAGGAGGAGTCTAAGAGAGACATAGAATGTTCAAATACTTGTTTAGAACATTCTACATACACCATATAGGCATGACACTTGTGTAGATAATAGCCACATATTGTAATGACTGGCTACTATAAATAAAGATGATTTCTCATTTGCAGCTAACCAAGTTTCCAGTTGTAAACTCTCTTGAAAAAATATACTTCTTTCATTCTCCCACACTCTTGTTGTGCTAGTTAGCCTGGTACTCTATCTTAGTATTTTTAAGGGAGTTTGTTAATGTCTAAGTGTCTCACGGATGCGCCAACATGTTATGCATATTTCTGCTTATTCGAAATAAATTAATTTCCTAACAAAAACATCATATGGTCTCTTGTGCTTGTCCTTTTGCCTAGATTACTTCTGCGTGTGCAACTCTTTGCCAAATTTGCATAATAGAGTCTCATCTAGGATCTTACCTCAAGGTCGGATTAATGAGGTTATCACTGTCCCTGCTCTTTATCATTTTCCTTGACTGAAATAAATTAATTTAAAATAAAAAAAGTGAGACCAATATTACAATTATATGTCTAAAGCACATGAAATTTTATACTATTTTATATGCATATACTTAGGGTAATACCCAAACAACAAGACCCTCGTCTCTATGTGTCGTCTCATTCTCAGTGACAAGCTCCAAAATAACCACCCTCAAAGCATAAATGTGTGACCACCTTCTAATTACTTTTTGAGCAAAAGTCACTGGATTCAAATATCCAGAACTTCCTTCAATTATTTCAGTGTCATTTTTTCCTGTAACGCTTGCAAGTTTGCTGATGCCAAAGTCTAGAATTCTTGTTCTGACATATACTATTCTAAGGATGGTGTTAAATAGGATGTCGAATGGTCCAATGAAAATAGTTTTGTCCGTGTGCAACTCCCATAGCAAACGTAGGTCTCATGTTTAGAGTCATGGGTGTTCATGGTTTTCTTGTTTGCATTACACGATATCAAGAAAATAGACTTAATTAAAAAAAATCTAAATTAATAAATGAGATTAACAAAATAGAGAATACCGTGTAAATGTCCACGGAGGGTANCATGGTTTTCTTGTTTGCATTACACGATATCAAGAAAATAGACTTAATTAAAAAAAAATCTAAATTAATAAATGAGATTAACAAAATAGAGAATACCGTGTAAATGTCCACAGAGGGTGCCATTAGCCATGAATTTGGAAATTACAAAACAACAGTTGTAAGTTGAACATTTCAATGACATTTGGATGCTGGATGAAAGATAGTGGATGAGTTTTTGTCAAAAAATTATTGAAACTCAAGTGAATTTGAATAATATGTGCTTGGGAGATCAATTTTTTTAATAGCAACCACTTGGGAAGTGAATGAAAATCATTAATAAAAGAAAATTGTATTGTTATTTGGACTCAAGAACACCATTCACAACCTTTTATGATGCACAATTTACAACTTTTCATGAAGTACCAAAATTGAGGACTAATGTAGAACATTTGGAAATTTAGAAATAGATTAAATTGTAGAAAATATAAAAGAGAAATGAAGGAAACTATTATTTGGACCTAATTCAATGCAATCTTTGGATTGAAAGTGTGCTCTATCTAATTGCAACTTACAATTAATCCAATAACTATATTGAATTAGGTCCTATAATTAGATCCCTTCAAACATACATGCATAAAAAGGAAGAAAACTTTAGAGAGGAAAAAACAAAACAACACTTGTGTTTATGGAGAATTAAAACACCGTGGTCCAAACTCTGCGGGAGAAAATAAGTAAAGATAAATTATGGAAGTGACCTCACTTCATTTTTCATGCCTCACACTTTAGGACTCATGATGAAAGTTGAAGTTCCGATTTAGAATAATACATACATGCTGGAAGAAATCAATAAATTGACAAAATGAGGTGCGAAGGTGGTGGAAAGCCAAAAGAGAAGTACATTTAGATATGCCGACATAAAAAGTATAGACTATTACAACATTATTATGAAAGTAGCACCTAATTTTTAAAATTTCTTTTGTACACTTTGCCAGATGCACCTATACCGAGAAGCATCGAGACATCAAAATCATTTGGTGCAGTTAAAATCTTCTCAAATGTTGGCTTGTCACCTACAAAAGATAATATAAAGTGGGGGGTAAAAACACAAGTTAAATATTATGTTATCATGCGTTAAAATATTTTAGTGATATGACTGTTGGATAATGACAGTTCACTCAAAATGCAGATTATACATAGTATCATCTCAAATAGTATCACTCCAAATGCATAAATGTCGGATGCTCTTGTATATCTTCCAAAGTCGAGGATTGTTGGATCTATGTATCCATGGCTAACTATAAAACATGAAGCCACAAATGATCCCGAGTCATCTAGTCGTTTAATAATCCCGAAATCAACGATTCTCATGTCCAATAAAATATTAGCAGATTTGAAATCTGCACGAACAATGGATGACCTAACTTCACAATGAATATAATAAAGACCACATGTCCCCTCTACAATAATCATCATCCTTAAGTTTAGATTCAGGATCTTTTGTGAGAATGGACAGTTGTTATAAGCTACTCTATTAGCTCATGAAGAGAAATAGTACCATGAAAGCCTTTTATCATGAAGTCGGTAATGACAAAAAACAGCGTCCGCAATTGGTATCAATCCAGTAGTCAATGATTTTAATAATGTTTTGGTGGTCACACGGACACAAGTGATGCATTTCCACCTTATATTGGTGCAATTGTGTTCAGGAAGTCTTATTTGGAAGAACCATTTGTTTGATTGAGACCTCCTGTCAGAAATTTTTTTTATTACAAAACCAAAAAATGTGCAGCTACAAAATATCAGATGTTATTGACTTCTTAATGCAAATTATACATCAATAGTGCACTTCTATTTTGTGTCAAATCAACCAATTAAAAATTACAAAATAGACGGACGGCCAAACGAAAATAAGATAATGGACTACATTGTAATATTTTTTATTATTTGAGGGACAAACTGAAAATATTTGTATCTTTTATGAGATTAAAAGTCATAGTTGAGAGGGTACATAGTTTAGAGTTATTTATGAGATTTCCCCAAAATAATATCGTGATGTTGAAATATTAAGTTTTTCTTATTGTATATACATTGAAAATAATTTGTAAATGTAAATTTTGAATTGAATAAACTTTAATCATTGATTATAAAAAAGCGAATATTTTACACATATTATTCTTTGATAAAAAATATATTATAATTTTTTGATATTGTAATTTCACCACGTAATTATCTACTACAAAATAACTTGGGGAGATTACTCAATAGTAACGTGGGCCAACCCGAACTCAATTAAAAAAAAAATAGGGTTTAAGTTAAATTTTTTAAAATTTGGGTTAAACTTAAGCAAAAAAATTTCAACCCGAATTGAATTCGGGTCATACTCGAGTTCAACCCCAACCCGAATGCACAATTCATGTTTAACCCCAAAATTAATATATATACAACATTAAGTGTATTTTAAATTTTTATTGAACTAATTGGTGAACACGTGTGTTGCACGTGGACCATTTTGAGTGTGTCTATCATAATTGTAATTTCTGTAAATTTGTTTGAACATTGGACTCTTTAGATTCTTTATAGCTCATATATACATAGAATGATCTGGTTGTGGACCATTGAAACCACCCATGGCTCAAGTGTCCAGTATATACCATTGATAGTTCTTAATCATGTATCTAATAAGACATTTCGATGATCAAACTAAAAAGTTATGGGATTAGATAATGAATACAATCCCAAAATTGCAAATATATCTCACAAATGAAGAATAAAAGCTTAGACAAAGTCAATTTATTACTATTCAACTTATAATCAAATGGTCTAAATTTGGGTTATTTGTAATCGCAAAAGCATGGAATTGGCATGTGACATATGGAGTATTCATAAGATAAGCCTCATGGCAGTCATCTTACTATTGCAACAGAACAATATTGTTTTAAAGTTGACACTAACAATGATTGTATCCATTCATTTGAAGCAGTCTACTTGAGCCATTAACCATATTTGCCAAGTGAGAAAATTTATTTTTGATTGTTAGTTTCTATAGTAAGGTGGCAAACTTCTCATCAACTCAACTAAAAACAAAATTTATTCTGAATGTGACTTTTTTATAACGTTCCTCAGAAGTGGTGTTTGCACAATGTTTATAGTAACAAGAAGTGTATAAGCTTACCATGGTTGGCTGTACAAATTTAATCAACGCTCTTTCTCAGCACTACGACTTGCTTCCCCTGCTACAAGCTTCAGATCTCTGCCTTGAGATTTAATCAAAGTATTGATAAATTCCACTGGTTATTGGTTGAATCTAAGAAAGAATGCCCGTCTCTTGCGATGCTCATGGATCTTCCTTATGGCTGTACAAATTGCTTCATCACAAGCATCAATCTCTTTGGTTTTCTCTGTGTTGGTGAGCAAAGCATTGAATTCCTTCTTTATAGGGAAGGGCACATCCACCAAGATATCATAGCATGCAGTTCCAGCAGGACTATTCCCTGAAAGCTTGATCTTGTGGTCCAAGTGAATGGGTTGCGGAGGAGACAGATGATGTGATATCTTCTGTGACTCCATAGTGAATTTTATCTTTCCTTTTCCAAATATTTTATGAAGTTGTGGACCACAATTAAAATACGAAGGGTTGTCTGTGCTCTGCAATTTCCTAGCCTTGACATAATGCCAGATTGCAACTATGATTCTGGGGCGGGTATCAACTTCAATGCCAAGAACTTCCATCAAAGGTCCTGAAAGTTTTTATTTTTTGGGCAAATAAATCATTTCAAGCCATGTAGTTGCAGTAAACTCCCTCTAACAGCATCCATGTAATAGGGGTTTTGTGTTCCAGTAATAGGGTCAGGTGACCTGTAACAGACCGGTATGAGTGACGCCGATATGTAGGTGACAACTGCAAAACATAGCAAAGCAACTGGTCAGGCAATCCAACCCAGTTGTGCATAGCTTGACGCGAGAAAGAGAGGACACCAGCTCCAATCATGGGGGTGATGATATGAGCAAAACTGGTACAGACGGTTCCTGGTGAAGAAATATTAACAGATTAGGGCCATTATTTTTATTATTGAATTTACAAGTAGAATTAAAAAAAAATAGAATAGAGGAATTAATTTGATGGTATTATTAATTTGCATGACAAAAGAAAGCATGATATTAAACAAATACAAGGAAAAGTTATAGGTACATATTCATTTTAGATAGTGAGAATATGTTCGTTTTAGGTACATTCAACTTGTCAATAAATTTAGATAGAACCATGGCTATAAGTATAGCTAGATTAGCTCATCACTTACAGATGGCGTTAGGACACCCAGATTTGTACAGAGTAGGTTAAGATATTGTGGAGGTGTATAATCCCGAGCTGATGTTTCAACTTCGACCTTCGATGGGATGGGTACCCCAAAATCGATTGGGCGCAAGGCAGGGACCATGTCTTTTTGGTCCAATGGATAGAGACGAGCAAACTGAAACACTGACAAACATCAATATATGATCTTAGTGAAAATCAATTAATAAAAGTTAAATATCTGCTATAATCCAATTTTAAGTTTGTCTTTGTAAAACTGTTTGTCCAAGCTGAGCAACAGCCAAAGCAATTCAATTAGGCTCCTCGAGATTTGTTTTCACATACCTTATACCTTTCAGCAGCCACATAAACCGGTTTGTTCATGCTTTTGGCCACCAATGCAATTTGATAAGTCCCCATCATGTTAATTATACCTCCGCTTTCCACCACTCCATCCGCCCCAACAAATATCATGTCTACTTTATCCATACCATATGGCACAACAGAGTCTATTAAGAGCTTCATAGGAACATCAAGCTTTGCTAGTTCATTGGACAATTGTAATCCTATCCTGTCTGGCCTTCCCTCTGCAGTTTATAGCATGCAATTTTGAACTTCATGGTAACACATTGGCCATTTTTGACTAACTGAAAGAAGAAGAATATAGGCAACATAGAACTGTCACTCTGTGCGATTCTGACAGTTGCTATCGTTTATGGATAGAGTATGAAGACAAATAATGCTGATGAAGAGGTCACACTCAGACCTAAATGAGAATGTCATCAAATTATGGAACCAATGTTGCCAATGGATGGCAACACCACAACTCATTGTTAAAACTGTCAAATGCTATGGATTGTCAAGAAAATAGAATGTATGAGCACTTGTTGGCATTGACGATCCATAAAGAAGTACTGATTGATGTCTCAAAATTCATTGAGGAAGCAATTTGTTTGAAATTAGTCATTTTTAATACTTAATAGTAAAGCAAAAATGCACATCATTTGAAAAACCATAATTCATTTATGTACAACCTATAATTGTATGGAATATGACTTACAAGTATATGTTTTCATTGTAGTAATCAACTTGTGGCATAACAAATGTTGATTTAAAAAGAAACGCGAGATTTTGATTCTTTTAGCACGTACATAACAATGTTCTATCTCTATTATAGTTTCTAATTTAGCTATAAGAATCATTTTTTTGGTAGTGATTACTAATACTAACTTAGAAGAAACTTATCCCATATAAAATGTTAGTCTGCCATGCATTCAACTTTTGATTGTATGGTTGAATCCGAATATAAGAAAGGGATATTTCATGGCACTATAATATATTCAAAGATTAAAAAACAAATTTCATCCAGATAATTCTTCCACATGGAATATGTTGGCCTATTACAGGTCTTCATAATGCAGTATTAGAATTTTATGATTACAACGTGTAATGTTATGTTTAGAATGAGTGATTATTTTATGCATATGTTAAATTTATTTTTTTTGGTTTATTAGGAAAATAAAGGTGTATGTTTGGGGGGGGGGGGTTGGACTTCACATAAATTTTTGGCCTATTTTTACCAACAAACAATTCTGAGGAAAAAAAAAAGCAAAAAAAGACATTGAATGTTGTGTTTTTCCTATTCCATAACAAATAGCTATTTCTTAAAAAGAGTAAAGCTTGTTTTTTCCCTAACTATGGATTAATAACTAAAAGAAAACTACGCATACATCTATCTTGGAGGGAAGACCCAAAAGAAAGGCTCAAATCTATAGTCCATAAAATCCAAAACCATGTGATCACTTACTTGTTCATGGAACTAAAATTGACTCACTCCAGTAAGAGATAATCCAATGCAAACAATGGGATGCCGAACACAAACCTGTGCATAAAACTCGAAAGAGCTTCCTACTTTGGGCAGCTGTCTTCAAAACTTCCAACACCACTTGAGATAAACCATGCACCAAAATGGTACAACCGTCAAAAATAAAATCTTGACCAAGCATGGCAATGATTTTGCGAGCCTGCAATACAGACTTGGTCAATAGCTTTTCATGGTAATGCGACATTTGGACCGGTTGATTACTGCAAATTGACACATTACTGAAACAGTGAGCTGATACAGCCTAATCAGCTTGTTACCTTATAAGATATCTACCCAAATTTCTCTGCACGTTCAAGAAGGCGAGACTTAGCCGAATTAAAGTCCTCATATTCCAGAGCTGAAGTTCTTGTTACGTAGTGCATGAACAGATCGCAGCCAGCTGCCAAAGAGATGGAGGTTGTGTCCCATGACTGCAATACACATGGGTGTCAGATGACAATCATAATTTACAATGAAAAATCTTCCTTACAAAACCTAAGATTCAAGACCTTGGTCCTTGTTTTGATAGATTATTAATAAGAATAAATTTCCGCAACTGTAAGTCATAATCATCATCTATAACTTGTGTAAAAAATTTGGATGTGTTCCATACTCCAATCATTGCTACCCCCGCTGCTTGTTGAAGGATTCCCTCATTGACATTACTTAACATTTTCCTTTATACACTTATTGCAGAATAAAAAATTCCAAATTACAATCAAATTGGTCACCGCATTAAATAAAAATAAGACACGCAGACAAATGCTATACCAATTGACAAATTGAAGTATTATGCATGTCATGCAAAGTTATGAACAAGGAATTCTTGGAATAGTTCAACTCGCCACCTCTGGGCAGCAACCACACACAAGTAAGGTTTTTAAAGCAAGAATCAACCACTCTGGCTAATCTCTACGACCAAAAACAATTATTTTATAATGCTATCAAGTCTTTTCAATAACTGAAGTCAAGTACACTTCGGATTTCTTGTGGTCCTTGTTGAACATAATCACTTACTTCTTATTCATTCTAATGTTTAAACTGAGTGACTGGTCTGCAATATCTGATCTATTCGTTTAACTTATTGGCATTTGGATTCATTATATAGGCTACGTTCTGTAAATAAGCAATTTCGAATTCAGGCCAGAATGACAATCAACGCTACAAGAGAGTGAATTTGCAGGAATACATAGGAATAGTATTCAGTTCAATGGAAAAAGACAGTTCAAAATTATACAAATTAAGAGAAATGCTTTTGCTGTGTGCAATTCATTCAACGATATGAATACCTAACGATATAAAATGTACAAAAAGCGAATACAAATAGATTTAACTAATTTACGATGGCTAGCTATAAAAGGCACATACTTTGAGGGAATCGGAAGCTTTCTTGAGCTCAATCTCGAGATCCATCATCGTAGTGGCCTTGCTGGATCGAATAACCCAAGCCAAAGCCCTAATCGCCGCCACCGCTTCCGCCAATGTTGTGCTGTTTTTTGTTTTGAGGGAGAGAGTGTAACGGCTACGTCGAGTGCAATGGCTTGAGTTGTTACGACCCATATTCATGTTACTTTCTAGCTTTAATTAGTGAAATTGTTTGTGATTGTAATGATAAAATAATGTAACAATTTACTTTCATCTATGGGAATGATTTTTTCTTAATTATATAATGGTTTGTTTCATTTATGTAATGCTACTTATGTATTGGTGGGATAACTATGTATTGTTGAATGACGGTGATATTGTATTAAAATGAGATGTTTAGGTTCCGTTTGGTAATGCTTTGGTTTTTAATTTTTCTGTTTTTGTTTTCAATTTTTTAGAAAATCTGAAACTTAACCTCGTTTGATAACCATTTTAGTTTTTTTAAAACTAAAATCGTTTTCAAACTTGCCTCAGATTTTGGAAACGACTTTACAAAAAAAAAAGGGAAATGGGCAGAATTCAATTTAATGAGATCCCATCAGCAACTCTTGTTAGGAACAAATAAAGCCTTCTACCAAAAAACCCTCAAGTAAAATTATTTAAACTTTCATCTCATCATCTCTCTCGTCTCATCGTCGCTCTCATCTCATCTGAAGCTTTCTCTCTCTCTCGTCTCATCATCACCAGGCGTCCAGAAATTTGCCTCTCTCATCTGAAGCTCTCTCATCAAGGTTGTTCACAACAGCTTCATTTCTCTCACAAAGGTAAGTCCTTAGATCTAGAGTTTTCAGAATTTTTTAGTTTGATCAAAAAAATTTTGTTTTGGTGAGATTTAACGGCAATAATAGACATATTTCTTATGGGTTTTAAGGATTGTTGGGTCTATATTACATGTAATTTTTATTTTTGAAGTTTTATTGATTAAAGCAAGAATTTACAAGAAGCAAAAATTCAACAGCAGTCAAGTAATTACATCACAGTCTTCTTCCTTCTCAAGGTAAGCAATGAGCTCTAATCTTGGAATAACACCATTCTCCCCAGCCACAGGTACCACCCCCCTACACATTTCCCTCCATACAGCCCAAAATAACAGAAGAGGAACTCCTCTAATTAAACCATGACTCAGACAATGAAATTTAAAAACTCTGCAAAGTTTCAAAAACCTAACAATAGGTGATTCACCCTCTATTAAAGGAAACCCCATCATACCAGCAAACCTGGTCCATATAGCCTTTGTAAAATTGCACTCAATAAACAAATGAGGACTGGATTCCTCCTTTTCACAGCAGAGATTACACTTGCTTACTAAAGCAATCCCTATAATACGAACCCTCAAATCTATGGGCAGAGCATCCTTGAGAATCTTCCAGCCACATAATTTTGCACTTTGAGAAACCTCTTGCCTCCAAATATATTTAGCAGCCACACACTGAACCCCCTGCTGCCTAACCTGAGACCAAGCAAACTTTATAGAAAATAAGCCAAAACTACTATTCCTCCATATCTTTCTATCAGCTTTCTCAGTAATCAACACATCAGAGGACAAAATTTCATATCTCAGCTGATTCTCAAGCAAATGAACAACCTCCTCCAACTGCCAGTGATCATTTTCCCACATCTAGCAGCCTTAGGAAACACAGTAGGAATAGCCACAACTCTATTAAATAAGGGACCTGATTCTAACCAAGAATCACACCAAAAATCAGTATTCATACCATCTCCAATGCATACCAAGGAATTATCCACCACATATTCAAAATCAATATTCATACCATCTCCATTTTTTCTGCTTTATAGAATGTGAGTTATTCNATGTGTGTGTGTGTGTGTGTGTTTATACATATATCCACTTAAAAATATTCGAAATGGACGAAAGAGATGAATCACAAAACTGAATAAACAAATCTTGATTCGCTTCTTGGTGTTCCAGCTATGAACCAAGAATCACAAAACCAGAGGATTTGCTTTTGGTGTAGGAGTGCACCAAGAATGGCGCCAAAAGTTAACTATCAGGACTATTGAAGAAAAATGGAACANCATTTTTTCTGCTTTATAGAATGTGAGTTATTCTATTGCTTTACAGAATTCACTTTACATTATATTTTGTATTACCGTCAATCTGTTTGCTTTACATTTTTTTATTACATTATACTATGTATTAGATCCATTCGGTAGTTTTTTTTGTGTTACATTATTTGTAGTATGGATGTTTATGAATTATGTTATGCCTTAATATGTTATCCTTATATTATGTTATTTTTACAGTTAAACTAGCATAGAAGTGTATGGTGTAAATAAGTTATTCATAAAATAATTTAGAAGTTTTTATTAAACAAGTTTTCTATTTCTGTTTTCATTTTTTTTATAACAAAAAATAAAACCAAACAGGTTTTCGGTTTTCATTTTTTATCAACTAAAAACTGAAAACCATTTCTGTTTTTATTTTTTTTAAAAATTGAAAATCGAAAACGTTACCAAGCGCAACCTTAATTTTTGTGTGCAGTGAATAACTTAGCATTATGTTGGATGATGGTGGAGTAACTTAGCATTTATTGGATTGTTAGTGTAACAATTGTTGGATGATGGTGGCATTAAAGGGATGATATGTTTAATCTCTGTATGTTAGATGATGGTATTGTAGGCATTTGTTGGATGATGGTGGCATTGCATGTTGGATATTTATGGATTCAATATAGTTAAAGAAATTAATTCAACAAGACAATAGGTTCATGTACACAAGTGTTTCCAAAGGGATGGTTAATCTTCTAAAACAAGACAATAGAAGATCCACCATTCTCATAGCAAAAGAATACATTGTAATTTCACATTTCAAAAGGATCAAAAAGAAAGTGTCATAACTAGACTGTAGCAGCAACATCCAGCACTGCAACAGCAACATCCACTTCATTGCAAAATCATCAACATCAAGCAATAGCAAAAAACAACACCAACAACTTAGCCACCTACAACCATGGAGGGCAGCACAAACAAAACTTTTGCCCTCTTGTTCTTCAAATATCCTTAAAAAAATCATAGAAGTTCTCATTCATGAAGGAGGATTCCGCATCGAATAAATGCATTTGTGTTGCATCAAATGACATACCCTACAAATATTAAAATGGATCAATGAGAATATAACATTAAAATTAATGTAATCAATGTATGAATAAATAAACATACCTAAGTATTAAATGCTTGTGAACATACTAGTTGTGTAGATAATGGTCGTGAAGATAATGGTTGTGCACATACTGGTTGTGAAGATGAAGGTACCTTAATGACAAATAATCCTCAATTCAATATTGTTGTATGTTAAGTAAATATAAAAAAATCATTTAATGTTTGATGTGTCATACCTTGAACATATTAGAATGTTGTATAACTATTTTCTTTCTCTTAGATGGCTTCTCATGTCACGGCTTGAGTTGACCCCAACCTTTGTAACCACCATCCTCCCTTTTTTATATATTTCACTCATAAAATACTGGGGGTCCACATTCTTCATTCCTTCATTATCCACACATTGCTTTTCGAGTGAAGCGCTACCTTCATCAATATGTGATGCAAATATCATCTCCACTTGTTCAAACAAATTATGAAAGACTAGAGTTACCAACTGATGTACAGGTCCAAGATCAGAGCAACAAGTTGTTGATTGTACCATTTTAGGACATAGTTGCTTATAACAAGATGCTGCCACCAACTTAGGATCCTCCACATTTGATACACTATAATTTGGTGTATGAATATTCTTTACATCTTGTCTTCATCTCTTTATTATGTAGTCTTCAGGAATTTGCTTAATATTCATTGTGTCCAACACTTTAAGTGCATGCCTACATAGTATTCCAACCATTTCAAACTTCCGCCAACTACAACTAACAAGTTGTTCAGTAGCATTTATCCACACCAAATACTCCCTCTCTTTTCCAAACAATTTAACAACAAATTGATGTTGTTGGTCCATAGTATTGCATGGCTTCACAACGACACACTGGAATATATCATACTCATCATGAAATAAATAAAACACAAAAGGAGTGTAACACTGTCCAACTTACACCAACATGAGAGCTTTTTTTAACTTCATTCTTAACAACTTTTGCCTAGCATGGTACTCTTCCTCCAACTCCACATATCTCTGATCATTTATAGTTGTATCAAAGTGAGTAAAGAATTGAACAATATCATGATCTAGCTTTAAGTACTTTCACAATTTTGTATTCAAACTCTCACTAAGTTGGGTGCTCCTCATACCTGTTGTGAAAGTTCTCTTCATATACATCTTAGCTCATTTCTTCCTCAAAGTATAAGTTGTCTTTGTCCAGGTATTATCTCGCAAATTATACTCATCAAGCAAAATATTTCAAGTCTCAAACAATTAATGTTCTTTTGTATATTTGTAGATGCAATTTTGTAATATGGTGACAAAGTTAGAACCATCGTTGTATATATTCTCTAGATGCTTTAAAATATTTTGGGAAAAGTGCTAAGTACATAGCCCGTGATAAATCCCCGACATCACTTGGATTATTGCCTTAACCATTGCTTGATCTTGGTCAGTAAAGATGGTGATAGGCTTCTTCCCAGACATTGCTTGCAAAAAAATCTCAAATAATCATTGAAACGACGCTGCCGTTTCATTATACAATAATGCAACACCGAAAATCACAGTTTTTCTAAAATGATTAAAGCCAACAAAGCATGCAAAAGATCGATAATCCTTATTCGTACGGAATGTTGTGTCAAATGAGACAACGTCTACAAAGTGACCATAGTAAATAATCATTATCAGGTCAACCCAAAAAATATTTGAAATACGCTCATCAACATCCAACTGGATACCATAGTAAAATGATGGATTTTTAACCGCTTCTAACCGAAAATAATTCAACAAGCTATCAGCTTCACCATATCTCAACTCTCGTTGCCTCCTATCATAGATGTAATTTTTTTGATCTTACCGAGTAAACCCCAAATTTTCCTTTCCACCTGTCTGGGTACTCATTTGTTCATATGAATTTTTAAGTAATATCTCACAATCTTTTGTCATGTCAACATGAATGTCTTGCACAATAGAAACCTTCATTTGTGACGACATCATATGCACACATTCTTTAAGGTGCAATAGATGATTGTGA